ATCTACATGAAGATGTCTACATGAAGCTTCCTCCAGGCTTTCATGCTTCTCAACCGAACCATGTTTGTAAATTGAAAAAGTCTTTATACGGTTTGAAGCAAGCCCCTCGTTGTTGGTTTGCCAAATTATCATCTGCTTTGATAAACTTTGGATTTCGTCAATCGGGTTGTGACCACTCACTTTTTACTCTTCTTGTCCATGGAGTGCAAAAGATGGTTTTGGTATATGTAGACAATTTGATCATATGTGGAAACGATTCCGTTGCAATTCAACGCTTTAAAGAATATCTTAGCAAGTGCTTTCACATGAAAGACTTGGGACATTTAAAATATTTTTTGGGAGTAGAAGTTGCAAGAAACTCAAGTGGAATATTTTTGTCTCAACGTAAATATGCATTAGATATCATTCAAGAAGCAAGCCTACTTGGTGCACAGCCCGTGGCTACACCTCTTGAGCAGAATCATCAACTTGGACTAGCCATTGGACGCTACATTAATCAACTTGACAGGTATCGAAACCTTGTTGGGCGCCTCATATACTTGTGTTTCACCAGACCGGAATTATCCTACTGTGTCCATACCTTGTCGTAATTCATGCAACAACTGCGTGAAGAACATTGGAATGCAGCCATTCGAATTGTGAGATACCTCAAAGGAAGTCATGGGCAAGGAATTCTCCTCAAAAGCACATCTGATTTCCAACTGCATGGATGGTGTGATTCCGACTGGGCCGGATGTCCATTAACTCGGTGTTCAACTACTTGGTGGATTATGTTTTTGGGTCACTCTCCTATATCTTGGAAAACCAAGAAACACCATATTGTCTCTCGTTCATCCGCTGAAGCAGAATATCGTTTTATGGCTACTACTTGTTTTGAACTTAAGTGGCTTCGGAGCTTACTGGCTAATTTAGACATTTCTCATAAAGGAAAAGGACCTATGCACCTCCACTGTGATAGTCAAACTGCTTTACATATAGCGAAAAATCCAATTTTCCATGAACGGACAAAGCATATTGAAGTGGATTGTCATTTCATTCGTAATGAGATACTCCAATGCACCATTCAACTATCATATGTTCCAACACAAGAGCAATTTGTCAACATCCTTACAAAAGCCTTGGGACGACATCAATTTCAGACTTTGCTTAACAAGCTGGACATTCGTAATCCTCATGCTCCACTTTGAGGGGGTTAATATGGGATATGCTATACGGGTTATGCTTTCATGCACAATTTTTGGGATTATTTCATCAAATTGGAATAATTAATTTAACGTACATTTTGTCCGGTTTAATTTGGCGTACATTTTGTCCGTTTTAATTCTCCTTTATTGCAGAATAATGCCAAATTATATCAAAATATGAGAGAGGTAATTTAGCGTATAGTTTAAAATTCGTATTTGTCATATACTAGTATATAATTACCGTTAATTAATAGAAAACTTTATATAAAAATATAAAATTTGTGTGAACATGTATCAAGATTCTCCAAATAGCACCGCCAGTTATTTTTATATACTATTATTTTATTAAAAAAAATAAACTGGTAAAACATTATTATAAGGTCAGCTCGTGAACTCCCATCATTTTTTTTAGGGTAACTACCATTATTAAATTTAGTGTATATAAATTATTTCAAACTTAGTGAGAGAGAAGAAAATACAACAAAGAAAAATACAAATACAATAAAAATAATACTACACGAAATCATTATTTTTCTAAAAATTATTGGTGGACGCTCAATAATTTATTTAACACATAATCATTTGATTAATGAGTAAACGAGATAAAGGAGAGAGAAGTATAAATAACATCGACGTTCAAAATGTTTGACCAAATCGGTATTTAACTGATTTTTGACTCGATCCGTGGAATCCGTTGTTCTCCATCACGCTATGTTATTAACAAATTTTTGTGCAGAGTTTTAATATTATTTGCAGTGTGAAGTTGAGAAACAAGAAACTCGCAAAATGAAAGATGAGGGGTCTGCAAAATGTTAATTATATATCAGAAAGGACTACATAAGGCTAGTTTAGCTTTGAAGATGAAAGAGGAAGAAAGTATCTGTCACGAACCATGTTTCTGAAATGGTTTGGCGACAATAAAAGTTCATCTGATAGAGGGTATCCAACTGTAATACAAGAGCTGTGTCGTCAATTCTCTTGGACTGATATTAAGAAAGTAACTAACAACTTTGATGAAAAGAGAATAATTGGAGATGGAGAATTTAGTAAAGCATATAAAGGTTATCTTAAACGCAATGATGGTACTGATTATGCAGTTGCAGTGAAGCGATTTAAAGTGGAACGCCCTGATGGATGGGGAGAGTTCACGACTGAGGTAGAGTTGCACTGCCAGCTTCATCACCCTCATATAATCTCTCTTATAGGATTCTGCATCCACAAAAAAGAAAAGATTATCGTGTTCGAGTACATGCCCAATGGATCTCTACATGGACACCTGCAAGGTGGGAAACTGTCATGGAAGAAAAGGCTAGAGATTTGCATAGGAGCAGCACGTGGACTACACTACCTTCACGCAGGAGCAAAGCGCACCATCATTCATCGTCACATCAAACCTAGCTACATTCTTTTGGACCACAACATGAACCCAAAACTCGTAGGTTTTGGCCTTAGCATACAAGGAGCACGTTTTATGTCAAAGCCTAAACCAATTAAAATAAATACTCCTGGATATATTAGGGGTAATGTTTTATCTTCCCACCTTACTGAAAGGATTTTTTGTCAGATAAACTAAGATGTTACTTTCACTTATAGGTAATTGGGAGTATTTGGCTAAGGAGCTTCTCATGGACCGTACCGCGTCTGATAGATGTGATGTTTACTCATTTGGTATGATTCTACTAGAAGTTGTGTGGGCCAAAACAATTCTTGACATGGAAAGCAGAGGAAATTTTCTGAAGAAGCCTGTTGAGGAATATATTGATCCGAATATCGAGGGTAAGATTGCACCGGAGTGTTGGCAAGTCTTTGTAGACATCATTGCAGGATGCTTGAAGAATGAACCTGATGAGCGACCAGCAATGGGTGAAGTACAAATGCAACTTGAGCATGCTCTGTCCTTGCAGAAACAAGCAGATATCACCAACACTAATGCTCATTATATCTTATTATCCAAAACCATCATTAACCGGGAACGGCAAGATATCACGGAAACAACCAACAGTTGTGGTAGCTTAGAAGACATCGAGTCCGAAGACATGTTTCGTACGTAATTTGGTGAGCTCAAATTAAGGGTTTTAGCTTTTGGAGTCTATGTGCACTTTTTTTGCATTTTGATTGTTTCTGAGGCTGCCATTGTGATTTTCTTTTGAACTAGTATAAATTTGAAAGCCGTTAAGGTTCGAAATGATAATAAATAGTTAATTTTGAGACTTGTGTACCATTTTAAGAATTTATTTGATATTTTCTTAATATCATGAACAAATGTGACAACGGTCACTACTTTCATGAATCAAAATGACTTTTTGCTCGAGACGAATATACAAGCCTAGCTTAGCCCTGATGATTGAAGAGTGGTAGTTGTGAATGTTTTTAGCAAGTGACAAATGATTAAGGAAGCAGGTTTCACAAATTGGAAAAAGTGTTTCTCAAATGTTTGGGCTTTTTCTGCTGTTTGAAGCTCACGAGTACCTCAGACAATATTCAATAGTGATTAGAAGAGCTGTGCCATCAATTTTCTCTCGTTGTTATTAGGAAATCAACCAACAAATTTGATGAAAACAGGGTACCTGGAAGTGGACCATTTAGTAAAGTATATAAAAGTTGCCTCCAACATAATGATGTTTATGATTGTACAGTTGCAATAAAGCGATATGATGGGAAATGCAGTGTAATGTTCAAGAATGAAATAGAGTTGCTCTGCCAGCTACGTCACCCTACTTGTGTCTCTCTTATAGGATTCTGTAACCACCAATATGAGGACACTGTTGTGGAAGAATACATGTTCAATGGATCTATATATGAACTGCAACAAACCAGTAATGTTAGAAATTCCCTTAATTCAATCTATACTGGAAAAGGGTGGTTAGTGTTGTGTAAAAACGGTCATAGTAAGTTTAGTTCTGATACTTTTAGCTTTTGTTATGATCTCTGTTTGTAGCATTTTAATTTCATACGAAGCTTTCGTTGCAATAATCTTGTATTCGTATAAACTTAAAAGTTGTGCAAGAAATAGTCCTGAATCACGTAATTTTTACATGAAATATAACAATAATTTTTTGTTAACACAATTTAATTCTCTTCATGTGTTGGTTTCACTATGCCCGGAAGTTATGAAACACGGTAGAATAAATATAGGACAAAAATTTAAACTCAGAGACATCCAGAAAATCATATCACACCTGAGAAAGATTCATCATAGCAATTTGGCCACTAACCCTTGGCCTTCATAAAGTATAATATATGATGGTAAATATTAACATTCTTCCCCTCAATAGATCTTTGATACCAGTATATATAAGAACAGAAAGGCTAAATTCAAAAACTATTAAAATCCTAACAAATGGATAAATATAAAAAGAGAGATAAAAAAAGAAAACTGAAAAGATTTATAAAAAAAAAACACATAAAGATAAATGTCACCCGCTTACATCAAATCACCAAGTTATTCAAAGTTTGGATACTGCAAGGAAAACCGATACCATTTGGCAGGTAGATTTCAATTTTATAGTCTCTTGAAAGATTATATGCGCAATTCAGGTTCAAAGTAAGGACCCTTGCTCAAAAAGTTTCCCAGCAATTCTCCAAATGTCATGGATCGGTATATGGGTGCTGAAGAAGTTGCATTCAGCAGAGGCTTGGCAGGTTCTATAAGGGTCTCTTTTGTCGGGTTAATGAAATAGGCAATAGTGTGCCTCGAACTGTTTGAATTTGTGACAACACGGTGTTCAGCACCAATGAGCTTTCCATTGCTAATGATCTACATCAGTCAAAGAACAAAACTCAAATGTTCAGATTCATATACAAGGTAAACACACCTGAACTGAGAAAAAAAAAAGAAGGAAAATCTACACTGTAGTACATGCTAAAAGACTATGAGAAAATAGGTCTGTACTAACTAATAGTAAAATGTCATCTTATTATAAACTATATCCGGTAAATATGTTGACTTATGTTACCTTAAAAGTCATAGTACAGTGATTTTTTATTACTTGCTAACGGTGTATAGTCATTAAAGTAAAATAGATTGTGTTTATAACAAATGTATAACTCCAAAAGATAAATGATATACATAAAAAAAAAAAAAAAGTTGTTTGGACTAGCTATATTAGTCTTGTGGTATCCGTGTAAAGCAATTTTAATTAATAAAAAATCATTGTTGGTGTGAAATTTTAGACAATCATTATAAAAGTCAACAAATTTTTCATGTATAGAAGTATGTGATTGGATGACAATGTATCACATTATTAAATCCAATGCATCTTCTTGTGACTTAGGGAGTTCAATAATTTCTATAATTACTTGATAGTAGAGATCAAACACTAGAATTGGTAAATCATGAGCTAGAGGGAAAAATATATTAATATATTCTTATACCTGGAGCATAAAGCCCATGTTAACTACAAAGGCATTGGGAATTGGCTCAACAGGAATCCATGCCCCATCTTTGAAAACTTGAAGTGCAGAGATCTCTGCTTGTTGAAGAAGAATGGTAAGAAGGTTGGGATCTTTGTGCCTGGATGTTCCCAATGTCAAACTTGGTTCAGGGCAAGGAGGGTAGTGATGAGATAGCATTACTGGGTTTGCAGTTAAGTTTCCATGGAAATATTCTGGGCCCAGTCCAAGCCCTTCAGAAATCAGATCCAAAATTTTGAGTCCCAGTGTTCTTAGTTCCTGGGTATATTTCCCAATAACCTCCCTGAAAATTGCAAAAAGAAAATGATAATTAAACAATTAATTATATGACAGGGATAATGGGAACAATTAATTTTGTTGAATGAAACATGTGTGATTTATTTTACTTTTAAACATAAACAAAGAAGTTTTAACCTTCCCAAACTTTTGGGCCTGATATCTCGGCCCAAGATAGATTATAGGCATGAAAAGACTAGACATGTACTTGATTGATAAGTATACACACCGTTAGAGTATAAAATCAAAATTTTCTAAATTTTGAAATTGTTAAGAAAAGAAAATGAAAACTGTCCCTCTTTTCTCATATCTTCTAAAGGATTAGATTAATAAAGGCTCATAAATGATTATTGATTGGAAAATCGATGATTAAATATTGTGATAAAATTATAAATACGTATATAATAAAATTTAAAGTTAAATATAATTTTAACTTTTAATTTTTTTATTAACAAAAAACAGTTTATAATTTAACTCTTTTAAAATAAGATAAAATAAAAATAAGAATAATCGTTAATCTAAAGTGAAATGAATTTATCAGATATTTTAATTCAAGTCAATAATTAAAGAAGTAGTTTCCTTATTTTACAAATTATCTCATTCTAAATATTTGTGGTCTATAAATTCAATTTTTTTTTCTTCCTTTAATGATGTGAAACTTTATTGCATCTTATCACACATTACATATTAAAATGAAAGAAAATAGTAGAAAATAGAAGAATTTACCTATATCCCTGAGGCTTCTCAGGCCAAAATTGAAGGAATTCTCCATAACAGGGGTGTTGTAATGAGTCTTTCCAATAGAGAGTCTCTTGAACATTCCTGCCACTGCTTGTATAGAGCTTGCAACTTCCGTTTGGGTCTTTTGAGCTTTCCCTTATCTTTTCATCGGGAGGCATGCCATGGAACTCTTTGAACATCCCCAATGCACCATCCATTACCTCCTTAGCAACTCCATGATTGATAACCTAAATATCAGAAACAAATATTTCACCTTCATAATTGAAAATGCATGCTTACTCTAAGCTATGGTAAAAGGATGAATCTTCCGACCCATGTCTCAAAAAGTGGGAAGTGTTTCAAATTTAATAAACTCTTATATATTAAACAAGTATATATATATATA